GTTTAAAATACAGAATAGGGAAAGAAAAATCAGATAGCCACCATTTAGCAAATTTCTTTATAGTCATTTTTCTTTGAACAGTTTTTATTACTTTTGCATGACTGTGATCATCCTGTATAAATACTTTTATATCCATTTTTTTTCACGTTAAACATTACATTGAGATTCTGCTGTATAATTAGGAGAATATCAAATTCAAAGTCAAACAATATTGTACAAGTAATGGGAATTCTGGCCTCCACTCAATCTCCAAGTTCCCTCCATTTATTTAACAGGTGTTTACTATAGGTGCCTATTTTATGCCACATGCAGTGTTGGGGGCTGAAAATATAAACAAAACTAAGCCAGAGTTCTTGTTCTCAAAGAGTTCTCAACTCAGCAATTATCCTCTGCCATTATAGAAAATGGGCTTATCTGTGTGAATTTAAAGCTAATGACACAAATGCTTGAAATTTGGCTATTTTCAACTTCACTCTTTTAAGGAAAATCACTATATACACAAAGATTTATCTCAAACAACAACTGAGGTTTTCCATATTTGATATAGCTGTATTCTTATCTTTCAGGTAAAAGAGCTGCAATTCTTTTACTCATTTTATGACATGTATTTTTCAACATTTATTGCAATTAGCACTCTATTGGACTTGAGATCAGTTGTGTTTTAGAAGCCAGTATAAGAGCTTTCATTTCCTCTGATGTAAATTTCAGATTCATCATACTTCCCCCTATCCTACCTATTTGCATGATTGATATATTTGTTTATGTGCAAATAAACAACCACAGCCTAGAGGTAGAGGAAGGATGCAAATACTTCAATGAGTACAGATGCTTATAACCAAATATACAATGAGCCACATGCACCTGGAACTATTTACATTATATGTAAAATATAACAGTTGTATCTGACTTCTCTGGAAAATCTTAAGCACTCCTTTTTGCTAATTTTCTTTGCTACTTTCCAATTTAAGTCTAGTTGCCTAAATGGTGTCTCAAAGAATTAAATAAGAGATAAAACAAGGTATTGAGTCATAATTTCAAACCTTCTGAAATATACAGTCAGAAAATCTATTCTCTACTTGAGGATCCACTACTTACTAGTCATGAGAGTGTTAGCAAGGTGTCATTAATGTAAGCCCCAGTTTTCTTATCCATAAAATAGGGATGGTGATATTCACACCATACTTATAGCATTAGTGCATTACTGTTGCAAAGCAAATCTTTGTAAAAATGCAAACACTACATAAGTGTTAGCAATTAGGTCTAAGGATCATTAATATATAACCATTTCTTAAAAAGCTCATTATAACCAAGTTTTATTTTTTGAGAGGCTCTGTCTGTTCCCTTACATTTACTTCTAAGTTGTCATAAAAGTTTTCAGACTAAAGGTATTGCGCTTTTCAGGAAGACAGCACCTGTAGTTTATCGAAAGGCATGCTGCTATTACCAAAAAGCTGTTGGCAGAAGGCTCCAGAGACATGCTTAAGAAAGAGGAAAAGAGAACTAGGGCAGCAAAACAAACTGGATAGTAACTTGAGTTCCTCCAGGGTTAATGTGGAGACATACCTACTAGTCTATGTCTCTCTACACTGAGAACCTAAAAAGCTGTTAGGATGTGGATCCTTTAGAGCATTTCAAGTTTTTAGGGCCTGAGACATGAAAAGGTCACTAATGATTTTTAACCCTTGGAGACTAAAATGATTTTCTTTACCTACGCTTTGCCATAGCTAGCTAGGTCCCTAATTGGATTAAAAAAATTTTTTTTTAATGCTTATTTATTTTTGAGAGAGAGAGAGAAAGAGAGAGCGAGCACATGTGTGGGGGAGGGGCAGAGAGAGAGAGGGAGACACAGAATCTGAAGCAGGCTCCAGGCTCTGAGCTGTCAGCACAGAGCCCTAAACGGGGATCCATCTCGCGACTGCAAAATCATGACCCAAACTGAAGGCAGACGCCCAACCGACTGAGCCACCTGGGGGCCCCCTGGGTTTGTTTATTATCAGACCTCCCAGGAAGCAGAAATCTACACACTATCACTGCAAATAACAGGAGTATAGGAGTTACTGTCTCCAAAGACCTAGAAGGCAGTAAAATACTTTGAAATGTTAGGTTTTGCTATTATCTTACAGAAAATACACATGCTTTATTAACAACTGAGTGGGAAATTATTCTCCCTCAACTGAAACTTATATGAAATGGGGGGAATCCCTGTCTTAATGTACTTACTTACTTATTTATTTTTAAAGTTTATTTATTTTGAGATGGTTCCCCACACCCCTCCCCTTGATGTGCACAGGAAGGGGAGGGACTGAGAGACAGGGAGAGAGAGAATCCCAAGCAGGCTCCACACTGTCAGCACAGAGCCTGACCAGGGGCTCAATCTCACAGACCCTGAGATCGTAACCTGAGCTGAAATCAAGAGTTGGATGCTTAATGACTGAGCCACCCAAGCACCACCTAATGTACTTATTTAGACCAGTAAAAGTACTATCAAAGATTCTAGTGTCAGAGCCCCAAGACACAATGAATCAACAGATATAGTATGGATTCTCTCAAATAAAATCAAAATAGTAGGTGCCTCCCTCACCTGAATGCCTATCATGAGTGTGTAAAAAAATAGGTTAACACCTTGCTTTTTTCCCCCACTTAACTCTCTGTCCCATTAACACATACCTGTCTCTCTCCTTCTCCCCCTCCCCTTCTTCCTCTCTTTCCTACATCATAATATTCCATTATGCAGATGCACCCTAGTTCTTCAAATACTCCCTGATTTCTGGAGACTTGTTTGCTTCTAATCATTCGCTATTATGTATAGTGCTTCAATGAAGCTTTGCTTACCTGGTTCTACCTATCCACAAAATAGATTTCTAAAAGTGACATTGCTTGGTCAAAGGGCAAAATGCATCTATAATTTTGGTAGATAGTGCCAGTTTCTGTTCCATAGGGATTGTGGCCATTTTGCACTGCCACCAAATGTGAGTACTTATATCCTGAAGATCATTTATAAAAATATACATGCCTGGATTCCACCTCCCAAATTCTGACTTAGGAGATAAGGAGTCAGGCCTGAGTAGGCCTATCTTGAAAACGCTCTCCAAACAGCGTATCTCTAGTTGAGAATCCATTCTACAATGCACTCTAGTCTTGTTTACATTGTTCAAATCCAAAAGAAAATGTTTAACCTCCAAAGTTTATACCCCATGTCACTCATTCAATAAATACTTTTTGAGTACCTATTATGTGCTGGGCACTCTAGATGTCAAGGATATAAAGATATATAACAGTATCTATCGTTAGAGTTTGCAGGGTGTAACAATGAGAAATGTCAATACATAATTAAGAGACAACATATAAGTATAGTATTAGAGATATACATAGAATTTTATGGGAACACTGGAGAGGTACTTAGCCCTGACAGAATGCTAGAGGAGGCTTCCTGAAGGAGGTGCTCCTAGAGCTGAGTAAGAATTAACCAGGTAAAAAGACGAAGAGGTAAACAAGAAGGAGAGGGCATTCTAGGTAGAAAACAACATATACAAAGTTAGGAAGTAAGAAACAGAAGGGATGTGTATGTATATACAGCTGAAGCATATTGCTAAAGCACAAAATACAACAGAATAGTAAGCAATAGGCTGCAAAAGTGGGCAGAGATCAGATCACTGCACAAGTAGTATACCATGTTAAGATACTTGACCTTATTCTCTAGGCAAAGGCAGTCACTCAAGAGTTTTTTTTTTGTTTTTTGTTTTTTTGTTTTTTTTTTTTAAATTTTTTTTTTCAACGTTTATTTATTTTGGGGACAGAGAGAGACAGAGCATGAACGGGGGAGGGGCAGAGACAGAGGGAGACACAGAATCGGAAACAGGCTCCAGGCTCTGAGCCATCAGCCCAGAGCCCAACGCGGGGCTCGAACTCACGGACCGCGAGATCGTGACCTGGCTGAAGTCGGACGCTTAACCAACTGCGCCACCCAGGCGCCCCACTCAAGAGTTTTAAGGATGGGAATGACAAGATCATATTGTTTTAGAATTATGGACAATGGAATGAAAGGGCATATAACTGGAAAAAGAACGATTAGGAAACTGGTACAGAACTCAGACGAAGGCTTGCATTAGGGCAGGGATTAAGGAGAGAGTGTACTAAAGGAATCTTAAGAGGTAAAATGAGCAAAATGCAGACATTAGGTAGGGGTGGAGGTAAATAAAGGGATGATTTCAAGGTATTATCAAACCGCTTCCAACAAAGTACTGGATTTAAGCTATTTTTTCAGCAGCAGCGATAGGTTTACACTCAATCATGCCCTCTCACTTGGGTCTTGACATTTGTAAGGTCAGGGATAGATGTATGGGGCTGAGCAAAATGCTCGTGGGGAATTGGTAGCCTTCTCCTTTAGCATCATGCTCTAATCAGCTAAGTAAAGCAACCACAGGCAACCCCAACCGGCAAACATAGCATTATATGACCGTATCTCAGATGCACCCTTTCTTATAATAACTCATCTACTGGCAAGTCTCTTGACTCCCATTTTTCTCTATGCCTGTTAAGTCAGTGACCGAGACAATTGCTGACAACACAAATAACTGCCAGTACAGGGAACAACGTGTAGTTGAGGGGCAGCAGCATCAACAGCTGCTTTCCCAAAACTTAAGCCAAAGCCAAGTTTCACAACACCAACAACACGTTTTGGGCAATCTATAGGTCTATTACCAAATAAAGTCAAGCTCTGGAGGTGAGAAGATATGGAGAGAGTCCCCCTTTGAACTGTTCCCATTCCCCTGATTTATGCAAGCATAACGGTCCTGTGGAGATGGAACAGGAGAAAGTTGTGTGTAATCCATACTAACCTTGGTACTTGTCTTTTTCTCAGTTCCTAAAAACAAACTGAAAGGAAACCAAAAACTAAACAATCATCAGATAAAAACAAGTTCACTGTTTAGAAAGTCCATGAATGAAACACACACATACCCCCCCACCCCCCCCCCCCACACGGTAACACCAAGGCTTACCTTTCTTTTATCTTCATCTGTTGATTCAAATTTGAAAGTAGCCCTATGCTGAGGGGGGGGGGGGGGAAAGGGAAACAATGTCATTTTAAATACACAGAGTTTTAATTGCAGCTATATTTAAAAGGTATCTTTGTAAAAATCTTGCCTTTCCATATCGTATTTCAACACGCGTATTGAAGCAAGAGAGATAGGCATGTAAGCAAATAATTATAAAGCAGTGTGAAAGACTACAGCAGAAAAACAGACAAAAGAACATAGAGTACCAAGCCACTAACTTTACCCAGGAAAATCTGGAATGCTTTGCATAGAGTACAGAGCATCTGAACTGGACCTTGGGGGATGAATAGGAGTTTTCCAGGAGGCAAATGGAAAGCACTCTAGAGACAGAAACAAAGACTCAGATGTGTGAAATGGTATGATATATTTGTGAAATAAACAGCTCTGCCAGAGTGAAATATAGGACATGTGAGGGGATGGGAGAGTAGAGAAAGAAGAGAATGGAAAAGTAAACTGGACAGAAATTTGGAAGGGTCTTCCAATGTTGCTGAGTTTGTACTTTCTTTTTCATATGCACTAAGAAATGATCAGGGAATTGTAGACAGGGAAGAGATTTGATAGACTGGTATTTCAGAAAAGTAATTCTGTAAGAATTAAGGTTTAAATTATGGCTCTACCACTAACTAGCAGAGCAAGTAACAAAATCTCTATCAATGGATTTCTCATGTGAATAGAGGGGATACCTAGTTCTCTGAGCTGCTGTTAGGGTTAAAACAGCAAAGGCATATATATATATACCATCTCAGTGCCTGGCACATAGTAAACACTCAGTAAATATTAGGATTATAATGATTATGACGCCAATGATATTGAGGAAATAAATAACCAGAAGCGAAGAAAGTATCATGACTCTCCTGAGATGACTGGCAACACTATATTTTCCACTCTGTAGCTTAAACAGAGGATGGAGTAAGTTGACTTGCCCACAGCCACAGAAACAGTGATAGGACCCAAAAATTGAGCACAAAATTTCTCATTCTTTTCTCAAGTTTTATTCTGGGGAACCTAATGCTCTTATGAATCTTGAGTTTTCCTTTAAAAGCAATCTCCACTGAACATCTTTGTTTTGTCTGTTTGTTTGTTTTTGTATTTTTCTCATTGGTCACACTGACATTTATTAGCAACTCATCAGGAGTTAAGTACACAAAGTACTAAAGATATCATCATTACAGGTGGTTCTGTGTCGTCAGCTTTGCAGAAGAAGCAATTTTTGAAATTAAGTGAGATGGAGAAATGCTGACAGAGAAGTGGTTCTGAATGTAAGAAATGGTCAGAGGGAGGACTGAGGTAAGAAAGAAGGGTTGTTTGAAGAAACTGAAGAGAGGCTGCTTCACATATGGTTTGCAAAACAATTAAAATAGATGATGTTAGGTGGTTAGATGGCTTGGATTTAAAAATTTATACCTAAACTGGCAGACAGGTGATAGGCAACCAAGGAAGACAGAGGTAGGTGTGAACAGTACAGCATTCTGGGAGAATATTTTGGGCTGTTGCTTTCAGGCCAGATCAAAGGAGAGAGCAAGACTGAAGACATAAAGCCTTCTAAGAAATGGGCATCAATAATCCAGGTGCAAAATTGCTGGCAGCAGTATAAATTGACATAAACTTTAAAAGGGAAAGTAATTTGGCAACACATACAAGAAAACATGAAGATATTCACATCCTTTCACTCAGAACTTCTACTTGTAGGAATTTATCTTAATGAAATCACCCAGAAGGAGAGTAAAGTCATATATGTAAGCATATTCACTGCAGTGTTATCTAATATTATGGAAGAAAGAGATAACTGAATATCTAACAACAGGAGACTGATGAAATAAACTGCTGTGCATCCACCTGATAAAATATTATATTGCAATAAAAAAAAGATGGCTAAAAATCTCTGTTAACAACATGGAAAATTACTTATAACGGCATCAGTGGAAAAATAGTAAAACACCAAGCTAGATGTCTACAATGACAGTACCTACATATGTATACGGATGCATTAAAGGCTTGAGTGTTGAAATGCAAAAATAAAAGCAACTGGGGGCACTTGAGTGGCTCAGTCGGTGAAGCGTCTGACTCTGGATTTCAGCTCAGGTCATGATCTCACAGTGAGATCAAGTCCTACATTGGGCTCCTCGCTGACAGCATGCAGCCTGCTTCAGATTCCCTCTCTCCTTCTCTCTCTGTCTCTCCCCTGCTCATGCACACGCATGCGTGCTCTCTCTCTCAAAATAAATAAACCTTAAAAAAAATAATAAAAGCAACTGTACAGTGGAATATCTGGTGATTTTTTTTTGACAAAATCATTGTTGGTGCAGTATTTTTATAATTAAAAGGGAAATATTAAAAATAAAAGATAAACCAATGAATGAACAAGGAAAGAAAGAAAGAAAAAAGGAAGAACAAGTTGTAAATCTGAAGGCTATAACTGGGGAACTTATAGACATGAGGTTTAGTAAAAACTAACTCTAGATAAAAGATAAAGAAACAACAGACATCAGGATAAGGTTGTAAACTGAAGCTTAGTAAAAGTCCAATACAAATGAAAATAAATTGCACTTAGAAACCAAAAAAGCTATGGCTTTTTTGCCATTATATGTGAAATATTAATTCCATAAATTATCTGCAATAAATGAACCTAGTCGCCAATACAGTGGTTCTCCTCAACTTTTTCTGGCATCTATGATAAAGGCATAGAGAAATAAATCATTTTTTGGAAAGATCTTCATTAAGTTATAAAAATATCTTTTAAACAGTTTCTACGTAGAATTAATCTTTCATGGGGAAAAATTTTTTTTTTAAAGATTTAAATGTTTATTTATTTTTGAGACAGAGAGAGACAGAGCACGAGCAGGGGAGGGTCAGAGAGAGAGGGAGACACAGAATCAGAAACAGGCTCCAGGCTCTGAGCTGTCAGCAGAGAGCCCTATGCAGGGCTCGAACTCACGGACCGTGAGATCATGACCTGAGCCGAAGTCGGACACTTAACTGACTGAGCCACCCAGGCGCCCCTCATGATGAAAATTTTGAATAGTACCAAGGACTAAATTTTCTGTTGCTTTTAAATGCAAGGCTGATCCTCTCATAAAACCACAATGTTACAGAAAGAAAGAAGGAAAGAAGGAAAGAAGGAAAGAAGGAAGGAAGGAAGGAAGGAAGGAAGGAAGGAAAGAAAGAAAGAAAGAAAGAAAGAAAGAAAGAAAGAAAGAAAGAAAGAAAGAAAAGCTTTCAAAAGCCCTAACTAGCATGAGGGCTTAATTTAATTAGAAAATATACTGGCATGTGAGGCAATACAAATTGAATTTTGAATGTGCCAATCTATTCAGAAGCTCAACCCCCCAAGATTGTTTGGATCCAAAGATGTTGGCTTCTCTAAGGCTGGTTTCTTTTATACAACTTAGATCATACCTAACCTATTCAGTACTTCTAACCCTTACTCTCTCTCCTTTCTAAGGCTGAAAGAGAAGGGAAGGGGAACTAGCATTTCTGGCTATAAATACCTTTATAGAACTGCCAGCCAACAGTCAACCACCTCACCTTCTTTATGTGCTTAATTTCCAGATGAACAGGAGCAACAAGTCAAATATAAACTAAAGAGTAAAACCATTGTTCAATTTAGAGACCAAGTAAACTAGGAACAGCTCTGTGACACACCAGACTCACAAGGACTCCTCCCCATAGGTTTTTATATCCTATGAGTAGGCTCTAAAAAGCTCAGGCTCAGGAGGCAGACAGAAGTGGGTTTGAGTCCAGTCCAGCTGCTTACTAAAAGTGTGACCTTGGTCAAGTTATTCAACTTTACTACCTGTCAGAGTTTCCTTATCTTTTATGTATGGCACCTTGCACATAGCAGGTGTTCAGTAAGTGGCCACTATTGTTATTATAGCATGGCCTATGATGTGGCATCTGGCCAAATACCTATTAGAGAACTAGAAGTTATTTCATATTTCAGAAGATACACTCAAAAGTACTGATACAAGGGAATTAACCGGGGTGGTGTGTGTGTACATGTTGTGCTGTATTTCACAAATAGAGGTTACTTCTAGAACTAAACACCAGTAACTGAGGTTATAGAATTTCAATCTGGAAACAAGAACAAGGTATAACAAAGGAACAGCTCACTAAACATGCTCCTCTGCAAAAATGTGTGGAATGAGCTCAGAGTCAGAACTCAACCCCAAAGTGGAAAGCAAAAAGTCTTCTTACATGGTCCAGTATATTTACATACCCTATTCAAATGTGTAGACTGTATTTCTAGAACTGTCTCAATATTAGGTCCCGATCAATCAGGTTCTTCTAGCACATAAATGAAGACCTCACTGCTATCAGTGTTATCTTCCTCTCTTATGAGGACTACTCTTGGAGACCTACCTGATTGTATCTGAAATAACTTTTCCCTTTAATTTGGCCATAAATTTGCCACATTTCCAAAACGAAATCCTGTTGGAGCTTGTTATAAGGTAATTATATGCCCAGGTGGCTTTTATGGCTATCAAGCCACCTCTCTGGCTATCATTATAGTTGATGACTCTAGGCCTCAGTTTCTTCACCTACTAACTGAAGGGGATAGATCCAATTACCTTTGAGAGTCCTTCTAGTCTAAATAACTTGTGATTCAAGGAACTAAGATATTGTACACCTCAGAGCCCTTGATCACTGTTTGTTGTGATAATCATAATGATGGTAACCAATCTCTCTCTTAAATCTGTATCAGAGCAGGCCCTGAAGGAGGAGGAGGAGCTTGGACAGCCTAGACTAGAACAATACATACCTCCCATGATTAACAGCTCATTCTATAACTAGAATGGAGGTGATTAGGACCCAACAGTAACCAAAGAAAGTAACGTACTGGTCCTGAACACCTTTTGCTCTTCTGTGCTCAAAAACACAGAATAGACAGGGTAAAGGCAACATGAACCCACTTCTAGCTATGTGCCCTTGAGCTCACAGTCACCTTGTCTTTATGAACCTCAATTTCCTATTCCCCTTGCAAAAGCGAATACTTCTATCTCCCTCGTAAGTTTTAATATAAGAGGATTAGATGTGATGATATGTGAAAGTGCTTAGGACAGATAATACATAGTACATAGCAAGCACTCAATAAAGGTTAACAGGTGAATTGAGACAAATGGAAAAGATCAACCACTCTTCCTATTTGTTTTTTAATACTTTCCTATGTTGGGTCAACTTGTATTATGCCCTCGAGAAACAGACAAGTTTAATTTTTCCTGGGATAGTAGATCTTCCCTCTCCCCAGGATAACAAGAGTCAGTGAATGAAGCAAGAAGGCTCGAAAATTACAGTCTCTTTAACACAGAAATTAGATGTTGTTACCTGGAGCCAGATAGGTAACTGTGGCTCTAAACATGGTACAAGGTATTTTGCTACCCATTAGAAAATGTAAGGGTCAAGGAAAATGAGAAGTTATGGAGTATACTCCCCAATTATTTTTATCAGGCTAAATCAACTCAGTGCTACATGTTTCATTCCGGCCTTTGTTGTTCTAAAGTTAGGGGTTCTTCTTCGGTGCCAGGCACTGTTTCAAGGGCTTTACACATATAACTCATTTAATCCTGACAACAAATCTATGATGTAGGTACTATTATTGTCCCTGTTTGACAGGTAAGGAAATTGAGGCACAGCAAAGTTAAGTTAACTTGTCTGAGGCTACATGGATGGTTAAGTTGAAGATCAGAGTCAGGCAGTCTGGTTCCAGAGCCTATGCTACGGCCACAAGACGTCTTGAGTACCTTGATCTATTAGAACTATAACTCACTGAGTAAACGCCTCCTAGGTGCCCTGTGCTCAGTGTGCAGCATTAAACTTCAGTTAATTAAAGGTGCATAATAAGTTAGGTAATATTATCCCTATTTTACAGATAAGAAAGCCACGACCCAGGCTTAAAATAACAAATCCATAGTCATAAAGCCAATAAAAGGCAGATTTGAACCAAGATTTATCTGACTCTAAATTCTACCTTCTTTCCACTATCTTGAGCCATTAAACATGCTCCTCTGCAAAAATCTGTGGAACGAACTCAAAGAGTCAGAACTCAACCTCCAAGTGGAAAGCAAAAAGTCCTCTTACATGGTCCAAGATATTGACATACCTATTCAAATGTGTATACCATATTTCTAGAACTGTCTCAAATTCTGGCTTTATTAGAGAAATAAAGTAGCATAAAGAACCTCCTCCCCTAAACAATGACCCAATCACTTTCTGTGTACATGATTCATTTCTGTTCTTGGTTGGACTCCTCAATGCCCCACAATCACCTCTCATTCTAAACATTTCTCAAATCCATTTTTTCCAGGTAAGAAAAACGAAGCGCACAGTGTTCAGCTACTTTTTCAGGATCTCAGACTCCATATCCCATAGAGCTGGGCAATTTAATTCCACCTCCCCATTCTTACTGCCAGACCACCGCAATCATACTTTCCCTTCCTATTCATCTGCCTCCAAGGTCTCTCTCGCCTTGAGGAGCAAAGCCCCACCAACAACATGAACCTCAGCTATTTTCTTGGTATGCTAGCCCTACCATAATCAGCATTAAACAGGAGCGCTCTTTTCTGAAGGAGCTGACTGACCCGGTTCGCATCAAGTCAGAGCATTCTGAGGCTTGGCCCAAAAAGTACTTCAGGAATAGCATCTTAAATAATATACACTGGGCATTACAACTCTAAAAACATTCCCAGTGTGAAAGGGGAGCTGGAGATGTCCAGAACTTAAGCTCTGATAGCAGTTGGCCAGGAGTGGTGTGCAGAAAGCAACCTGGAGGGAGATCAAGGAGGGGAAGAGGTAGACTCAAGGAAGCAAATCTGGAGTTCTAATCAGTTTAGTCTTGGAGGGAAGGAGAAATATTGAAGAAGGTGGTCAGATCCAGTTAGAGGTTTTTCCTCCTCCCGTCCCTAAAGAAGAAAGTTCCTACTGATTGCTAGATATCTGGCATATAGTAACTGCAAAATAAATACTAGTTGACTCAACACTATTTCTTTCTTTTGAGCATTAGTTTGTGGCTGCCTCTGATCTTTTTTTAAATCAAGTTAAATGAACAATGGAGTACTACGTGGCAATGAGAAAAAAAATGAAGCGCTTGTAGCAAATACAAATGGATATAGATTTGGAAGTAGCCAAGCTACTAAATACAGAAGAGGCGGTTACTTAGATATGGTTTCTTATGTGGATTCTGAAACTTAAGAAGAAACGCAGGGGAGGGAAATACTCAAAAAAAAAGAAGTTAGAGTGGGAGGAATGGCAAAGCATAAGGAGAGACGTTGGTAAATTCAGAACAAACTAAGGTTGATGGGGGTGGGAGGAGGAGAGGGTGTGGTGCACAGAGGAGGCACCTTTTGGAATGCTAGGTGGCAGGCCAAAGGGAAATGAATTTGACAATAAATTTCATGTATAAATAAAAAAAAAATAAATCAAGTTAAATGAATATCATCTCCGTAATATGAACACCCATGTATCAAGTGAATTTCTCCCAAATTAGGCAGATATGCAACAATAAAGCATATTAGAAAGTGAAGGAGATGGGGCGCCTGGGTGGCTCAAGGCCGGGGTTAAGCATCGACCGCCTGGCTCAGGTCATGATCTCATGGTCTGTGAGTTCGAGTTCAGGCTTATGATCGGCTCAGGCTGATAGCTCAGAGCCTGGAGCCCATTTTCAGATTTTGTCTCCTCTCTCTCTGCCCCTCCCCTGTTCATGCTCTGTCTCTCTCTGTCTCAAAAATAAATAAACATTAAAAAAATTTTTTTAAATAAAAAAAAAAAAGGAAAGTGAAGGAGCTAAGATACGAACAGAACTGAATCCATCCATCCATACTCCCAAAGAAAGTAGCACAGTACTGTAGAAAGAGCAATTAGAAAACCGAGATTCGAATCTTAGCCCCACCTCTCAACGGCAACATTATCCTAAATGTCATTTGTGAAATGGGGAATACCACCACTTCCTCACAGGGTTGTTGGGGAAGGTTCAATGGGAATGAAGGTATCTTATTTTGGGATCTTCTCCACCCAGAGCAGAACTGGCACCCTGGCAGGTCAATCGTACAAAGTGTAATAAAGCGCAGTGGTGGGCACACAGCAAACACAGAAGCGGAAATTAGGAGTACAAGTCAGTCAAAGGAAGAAAGGTGCTGTCTCTAGGGTAAGACTTGGTGTTGAGCGTGTTTTCACAGAAGTGAGTGGTCAGTCATCCCTATAAAGTAGTCTTCTAAATGGAAGAATAAAGGTGTGGCGTGCTACCTTTTGAAGTGACCACATAAAATTCCTGCAAGAAAAAGTAATGGAGAGCTAACGGTTCCTGGAGAAACATTCAGAGAAGTGGCTGGGATTTACAACAAGATACCTTTTTACTGCAGAGCTGTAAAGTGGAAAGAACAATGAATGGTTTGAAGACCTAGGCTGGAGTCCCAGCTCCCAAGTATGACCTTGGGCAAGTTACTTAACTGATACAGAATCTCAATTGCAAAAGGAGATAAAACCTCACAGGACTGCTGTCAAGATTAAATGAGATACTGGATGGGAAAGCTGTTAACCCGATACAAAGAATAGCTATTGCTAGGAGTCTGAATCTCGCCCCACTTACAACATAGTATGCCCATGACCTTGGCGTGATTTCAGTTCTTAGCACCTCGGTTTTCTCATCTATAAAATGGGGAGGATGACACCCTCTACCCCGTAAACACTCTGAGAATCAAGTTAGACCATATATGAGACCTCAAGCTTTGAAAACTATATAGTGCTATAGGTATAGAAAGAACTGCCACCGTGGCTGATGCGTTTTATGCTTAATCAAGAGCCGTGTTTAAGCACGGAAACACAGATTTTCATGCCATACAGGTGAGGAAGCCTCGCGTGCATTCATGCATTCAAGAGTGGGACACAGGGCACAGACGCACATTTACGGATTCTGGGGGTGTGACTTGCATGCTTGGGGGGAGAACCGTGGGACAGCCGGCTGGGCCGGAATCAGAGGAGTGGGCGCCAGCGTGGGGGCAGGGGGATGCAGGATGCACGCACGGGAAAGGCTGGGGGCACAAACACGCATGCCCAAGCCGGAAACGTTTTCTGGGGGGAGCAGCGCGCATCCCCGGAATGAGGGGGGTTGGGAGGGATGCGATGTGCAAGCCCCGAGGGCGGCCCGGGGGTGCTCTACCGCACGCCCGGGGCCAGGGCGCTTTACCTTATCGCTGTAATCCCTCAGGACCCGCTCGATAGCCCCCGCCTCGCCGGCCCGGACGATGTAGAGGGCGCGCTCCTCATCCATGGCCGCAGGTGCGGGGGAGCCGCGGCCGCTCAGCGCGCCCAAGCCGCTGCCTCCAGGTAAACGCCTCGCGCCCCCGCTCGCTCGCTCGTTCCCAGCTTCCTTCCTTCCCTCCTTCCCTCCCTCCCTCCTGCCTCCAACCCGCCAGCCTCCGCCCGGGCAGGGCCGACGTCACCGCCCCTCAACTTTCACCCCGCGACGTCACCGGTCCCCCAGCAACCGGCGCCTCGCGGCCGCCCCCGACAAGGCCCAGGACTCGATGGAGGCCTGACGAGCGGCCTGAGGCGAGGTCAGGCCCGAGGCCTCGCTTACTCTCCTGCCTCTCCCTCCCTCGCGGAAGAGTCCAGCCTTTTAAGTGAGCTTTCGCAGCCAGAACTGTTCTCTCCTGACCCTCCTCTATGAATCATTCTCCTCAGCTGACGAGAGCGACCCGGCTCTTCCCCGCCCCTCTAAAAGCCAGCAGCTAAACGGACTACAATTCCCTGCGCTCATTGGGGTCATTCCACGCTTCCATCTAATTTACTGGAGTACCGAATGGCATGCCGGGATTAGTAGTCATCCAGCGGGAAAAGACTTCCCGCCAAAGGCATGCTGGGAGCTGTGGTCCGGTCAGGGCCGGAAACGGGAGTCCCGCGGCAGCCAGAAGCCAGCGGCTAGCGACCAAGAGACCGTTAGGGGGAGGGTGTAAGCGTCTGCTCTGCCTCCTTTTTGTTCCTATCAGAGCTGGTTGTCCTGCTCGAGCCTTGGCCGGTCGGACAGGTTGACAGTCGGGGAAACTAGCACCCCTTGGTGGGAACTGTCAAACACCGGTTTAATTCCCTCTTTTTCTTGATTAGCGGTTTCGGTCTCTTTGAAATTCTTTCCTTCCTCCCCTTGTTTGCGGTCATGTTACGTATTCAGCTACAGTAATGTGGGAAATTGCAGGCAGTTATCTGGAGAAAAGGGGATTTTTTTTTTTCCTTAGTAATAGTTGCTGCCACGTATCGCGTGCCGCGAGGGCTCCAGATTCAGCGTTAGGTCGTTGCCACATAGCTTCTGATTCTCACGACGTGGAGATTTTTCTGGAACCAAAGGAACCAGCATAGGTTAAGTGATATGTCCTGTGTCACAAAACTGGTAAATGGGGAATTAGATTAGATTTGAATCCGGGTCTTTCTCCAAAGGTGACTGCTCTCCATCTGCCAGTCACATAATACCGATGTGCTAGTAATGGTAGTGATGGGGATAGTGAAGATGGAAGAGGTTCACGTTTGCTGAGTGTTTACTACGTGCAAACATTTTGTTACATACTGTGCCTGTGTCCTCTCCGTCAGTTTCTCACAACGTCAGGCAACAAGTATTTGAGAACCTCTGCTGTGTCTGGCACTGTTCAATACAGTTCAGTACTGTCCAGTGTAGATGCAGTGGGCCTCAAAGTCCTTGCCCTTATGGAGCTCCCATTCTAGTGCTTAACTCTATGAGGTGGGTACCATTCTCAGTTTAAGAGGAGCAAACCGTCTCGGTGGGGTTAATAGATTAATTTACCAAGATTGCACAATTTGGAAACTGAACTTGATGGAACTCAAGAGTCTGTGCTGCTTTTTTGCTTTCCCAAGCTATTAGAGAGTGGGTGAATTTTCCAAATAACTTCCAGTTCCACTCCAAGTCGTCTTTGGTGCCTCTTCTGCCCATGTCTACCTCTTGAGCTGTGTTGAAGAGGAACTAGAGGGGTAACAATTTTTCATCTGATAATTATTGTCTTCTTCTATCTGTCAGATGCTGTGTTAGCTCTGGGAATTTGCAGAGAAAAAGAAATATGGAATCTAAGCTCATGGAGCTTTTGATTTTTCTGCGGATTATACTCTTTACGCAGCAGACACTCACTGAGCATATCTGTTGAGCCAGGCACTGGAGTAGGTGCTGTGTCCATGATAAACTAATGCAGAAAGATTTTAATCTGTCTCTTAAAAAAATACCCTTAGAGCGGTCTGCATTCCTTAGGTAATAGTAATACCTTGCAATTGTTTTTAACAGTTTATAAAACATTTTTACATTTTTTTTTTTTATTTTTTAGAGGGAGCATGAGTGGAGGAGAGGGGCAGAAGGAAAGAGGGAGAGAGAGAATCCCAAACAGGCTCCACGCTCAGTGCAGAGCCCAACACGGGGCTCAATCCCATGACCCTGGGATCATGACCTGAGCCAAAATCAAGAGCTGGATGCTGAATCAACTGAGCCACTTAGGCACCCCGCTTTTTGCTGCATTTTAATATACACTATCTCAGTGGATCATTGAAGAAGGTACTATTTTCCCATTTAGAAATACAAAAACAGGCTCAGACAAGTTAAGTAATAAGAGCTAGGACTCCTACAGCAAGCTGTAAAGTAACAGTATTTGGGTACCTACTCTGTGTCCAGTAGTGTATTACATGCCTTTTGGGTAACCATATATTTATTTGTGGAGCAAGGGCATCAGGACAGAACACTAACAAGCATAAAGTATCTGAGTAGAGATGTTGCTTTTAACAAGGGTCTTACACATGTGTTCAAAATGTCTATTTACCAGAAATAGGCTTATGTTTTTAGGCTCCAACCCTGAACTTCTAAAAAGAGATTTAAAAAATGTGAAACCACATCAATTAACGGCTTGGGAAATTGCACTTTAGTAATTTTAATTAAGCACTAATATTCTGATTTTATAAATCAAAAGGATCTTTGACTCTAATTCAAGTCATCTTTTGACCACTGACGAGACTCTGGTCCCAGAAAAATTAAGTGATTTGTCCAAAGTCAATAGTTAAAAGCAGACTCTGGGACTAGAGCCTAGACTAGCTAAATCCTGGGTCACTACATCACTTTACCTCCCTGAATATTTAGTTACGGGGTACTTTCAGTGACTAGAGACTCTAGTCCAGCACTAACTCCAGTTCCTGTTGATTCTTGGGTGGCATGGTACCAAGGAATTAGGGTTTAGAGCCTGGGTAATCAAAGTAACACGTTTATTCACAAGTCATTGCTCTGAAAGATAGCAACATAGTAATTCTGTACAGATATATACACAGTGCCTTACTATTCTCAAGACATCCATACGTAGATCATCTGATTTAATCCTTATAATAGCTGAAAAATGCAAGGTCAATAGGACAGGCACTGTCTTCCTTTTTATAGAGAAAAGGGAAGTTCAGGGTGTTGATTAGCTTGCTCATAAGCAGTAAATCTGCTAATAAGTGGTATAGTTAAGGGCTAGAAGTGCTCTGGGCTCTGATAGCGTAAAATGTTATGGATTGGGGCCAATGAAAAAGCCTGCAAATATATACTAGTCATTTATTTTGGACTTTGATATATCCCACTGTGACATTTCCTCTGCCATGACAACGGGCTAGATGGAATGTGCCAAATTGGTCTTTAAGTAGTACCTGGTGCTAACAGCTTTTAAAATCCAAATCTTACACGCACGCACATACACACAATGTTTTTTGTGTGGAGTTCAGAGAATTCCACTAATTCAGGATATGACTGGTCACTCAGCAATCATCTCGCCACTGTATCAGGCTACTCAAACTCTCTTAAGCCACAGAGTCTTCAGCTGTAAAATAAAGGGGTTGGTCCAGATATTATCTTAGTTCTTTCTCAGTTCTAAAACTTTGTGATTCTAAGAACAACAACAAAACCATATTTGATCATGCTCATTCTTTAGAAAAATCTATTCATAAGAGTGAGGTTGTATAAATCAATATGTGCAAATCAAATACCAATATGGCATATGCAAATCATTGCTTGGGCATACCTGCAAAGATTCTGATTCAGTTGATCTGTGGTGAGGCCTGGGTAGTGGTAGTTTTAAAAGCTTCCAAGTTGATTTGAATGAGCAGCCAGGGTTCAGAACCACTGGACTAATATTTTGATACACTATCAACCACCAAACTAGTTGGTTTTTTTTGTTTGTTTGTTTTTGTTTTTTTGTTTTTTTTTAGTTTATTTATTTTGAGAGAGAGAGAGAATGCTAGCAGGGGAGGGGCAGAGAGAGAGAGAGAGGGAGAGAGAATCCCAAGCAGGCTCTGCTCGATCCCACAAACTACAAGATCATGACCTGAGCTGAAATCAGGAGTCAGACGCTTAACCTACTGAGCCACCCAGGCGCCCCTGACCTAGTTTTTTGATAGACTATCAAATTCATGTGCATGTGACTCGTTAGTCTTTGAGAATTCAGAATAACCTAGCAGAAGAAAGTGATTTTAATTTCATTTTCTACCAATAACAAGGTCTCCCTTTTGTAGCAAAGTCAATCAACATGATTTGTTCCTTAAACAACTATTTGGTGGTTTTTTGGAGCACAGCATTGTCTTAGGCACCATAAAAAAAAAAAAAAAATAAGTAGAAACAATTGATCCTGTCCATTGGAGATATAGGAAACACCCAGGCAATAAGTGAATGTTTTTTAATAGGAAGAAAGGAATTGAACATAAGTACTGTGGAAATTGCAAGATGAACATTGATGGGAAGACAAGGAAGCAGAGAAGCCTTCTCGGGGAAGGCAAATTATAAAGAAAGAATGGTGGAGGGAGTTTGGAGGGCCAGCAGGTAGGGGGGAATGCCATGAAAGAAATTCAGGAGAACAAAATTAATGAGACACTTATTGAGAAATATTGACTTGGTTGAACTTGAAAGCCAGCAATGGGGATTTCTTAGAGGTCAATTGGTCAGTGGGATAAGTAAAAGTTAAATATGAAGGACATTTCATAATCAATGATGACTCCATAGGCAGCCAATCCAACTTCAGTTTATGGCATGTTACATTCCTGAAAACATTCTCTTACTATGCCATATGCCAAAAAGTTAAATAGCACTGGGTCAGTTGCCAGCCAGTGTCAGATCCTTGTGCACATTATTTTAATTTCTCAGGGTCTCATTTATGAAATGAGTTGGACTGGATGACTTCAAAGTTGTTTTTTTTAACTCCTATAAATCTATTATTACTCGATCCAGCCTTCCAGCACCTTTATTAGGATCCTCAGTCATATTCCCAG